CGTGCAGTCCACATTGAAATGGCTACGTCGCTGGAAACAGACTCCTTTATTCACGCTCTGCGTCGCTTCATCGCAAGGAGGGGTCAAGTGAAGGAAATGCGATCTGATAACGGGACTAACTTCGTTGGAGCTGACCGCGAGCTCAGAAAAGCCATAAAGGAGTGGAATACCTCACAGATTGAGAACAGCTTGCTCCAACGTGACATCAAATGGATATTTAATCCTCCATCCGGATCACACCACGGAGGGGTGTGGGAGAGGATCATCCGTTCCATCAGAAAGATCATGGTCGCCACCCTGAGAGAGCAAAACTTGGACGAAGAAGCTCTCCGAACGTTCTTCTGTGAATGTGAGGCCATTCTAAACAGTAGGCCTATCACTTTGCCTTCGAATGATATAAACGATCTGGAAGCTCTCACCCCTCAGCACTTGCTGCTGCTAAAGACTCAACCCAACTTACCACCGGGACTCTTCCAAAAAGATGACAACTACGTGCGTAGAAGATGGAGGCAAGTCCAGTACATGAGTGATCTATTCTGGAAGCGCTGGACTAGGGAGTACCTGCCTCTACTCCAGAAAAGACAGAAATGGAACCATCCATCACGGAACTTCATCCCGGGAGATGTAGTCTTGATCGTTGATGAGTCAGCACCTAGGGGATCATGGCTGCTGGGAAGGATCGTCAAGACTATGGAGGATGAGCACGGAATGGTCCGCAAGGTTCGAGTCAAGACAAAAACTAATGAGCTTGAGAGACCAATAACTAAGCTCTGCTTACTTCAAGAAGCAGTATGAGAAGGACTGTTACTCACCTGATTGAGACTGTTAATTGCCTGAGTGTTACTCAGAAGAAAGACATTATACAAAACAAAAGAAAAGGGACATTGTTCTTATAAGTTGTAATTGTTTCTGCCCTAGAAAGCAATTAGGGGCCGGGTATGTAGAGGCGGAAGAATAGTTCATGGTTATGAATACAGTTAACATGATTGAAATGTGTTAAAAAAGATAAATAAGTTGACAGTATAAAAATATAGGATTTAATGATACATAATTTCATTTATAAGTTCATATTGTGGTCAAAATGTTGAAAATATGCTAAAATTCATCTTTCATGTGATTTGGTAAATGTTTTTATAACAGGGCTGCTTCCCCTTTAAGACCGCACGTGCGTCTGTTTTGGTGGACACAGAGATGATTCAGTCGGTGCTTGGAGCTGGAGAAGCACACGGTTTTCTTACCTGCTACAGCTACTGCTACTGCTACTGTTAAAGTTACACCAAGTGTATTAGTGTTAGTCAGCTCCAGTCTTCATAATTTTGTGGATCCTTGGATACAAGAAATAAACCAGAAGATTTTTAGGGCCCGAGCGTAGCTGCTAAGCAGCTGCGAGAGCCCTATTATTCCTGATGGATTCTTCTTTCTTCTTCTTCTTCTTATTAGGGCCCGAGCGTAGCTGCTAAGCAGCTGCGAGAGCCCTATTATTCCTGATGGATTCTTCTTTCTTCTTCTTCTTTAGGGCCCGAGCCAGCTGCAGAGCAGCCGGGCGTAGGCCCTATTATTCCCCAAGTGGTTTTTCTTTGTTTCTTTCTTTCTTTCTTTCTTTCTTTCTTCTTTTTCCTCCCCTTTGAACTGGAAAATGGCCCACTTCCCACTGGCGAAAACTCATGAAATTTGGCAGGACGACCGGGCCTGGTGAAAAATTTGATATTCTGAAGTCGCCAAAACAATAAAATGCAAAATGGCTCCATAGCGCCCCCTAAGGTGGAAATTCACACTATTGACTGTCACGCCTGTACGCTTTGTCATATTGACACAAAAATTGACACACATATGTATCTCAATAAGATCTACAAAAAAGTCAGTGCGGCCGTATCTGTCAAAATTACGGTTAAAGGGTTATTTCGCATTTTTTGCCGATCCGCACACATTGGAATTTCGCTAACTCCTCCGAAGGCTTTCGTTCCACCGGCACCACATTTGCTCAGGCCAATCTACACCCCGTGGCCATTAAAAGTTATCAAAATCATGACGCTGCACCCCAAGGTTTAGGTTCTAGGGGGCGCCAAAGATAACACTAAAATCCACATATTTAAAAGTCTTATAACTTTTTATTTTTGTCCTCACTGGCCTCCAAGTTTTCTAGGATGATGCAATGTCCAGCCATCAACACATTTGTGAAGGAATTTTTACTCCCCAAAAGAGCGCCCCCCCATGGCAGGAGAAAAAAGTCCATTTTTTCTTGTCCCCTAAGGTGAAAATACACATTGTTGAGTGTCACGCCTATACACTTTGTCAAAATGACACAAAAATTGACACACACATGTAACTCAATAAGATCTACGAAAAAGTCAATGCGCGCGTATCTGTCAAATGTACGGTTAAAGGGTTATTCCGCATTTTTTGCCGATCCGCACACATTGGAATTTCGCTAACTCCTCCTAAGGCTTTCGTTCCACCGGCACCACATTTGCTCAGGCCAATCTACACCCCATGGCCATTAAAAGTTATTCAAATCATGACGCTGCACCCCACGGTTTAGGTTCTAGGGGGCGCCAAAGATAACCCTAAAATCCACATATTTAAAAGTCTTATAACTTTTTATTTTTGTCCTCACTGGCCTCCAAGTTTTCTAGGATGATGCAATGTCCAGCCATCAACACATTTGTGAAGGAATTTTTACTCCCCAAAAGAGCGCCCCCCCCCCATGGCAGGAGAAAAAAGTCAATTTTTTCTTGTCCCCTAAGGTGAAAATACATATTGTTGAGATTCACGCCTATACGCTTTGTCATATTGACACAAAATTTGACAATCACGTGCCTTGCCTGGTATCATTTTTTTCAGCACAACCTCACCTGTGCGAATTTACAGTTATTTTATCATGTTGACATACTGAATTTACACAATGGACCCAAATTCACACACAAAACATAAAATCCGAGTGGAAAAAAGTAACATTTTTACTGTGAAAACCACAAATATGTGTGATGAACTGTTTTTAAAACTTGAACTTCAAATAAAAATTGTAAACTTCAAAACATATGCAAATTTTAAACAAAGAACATAGTGATTTACCTCTATTTACATCAAAATGCAGGCAATGGCCCAGGCGTTCTTTGTAAAATTATTTACAAAACACTGTATAGTCTCACAAATGTCACTTTTTATTTATGCCACTACAAAAAAACATGATGTAAATGATGCATGATGTAAAACATGATGTAAAAAACTTGTGTAGATCCTCCTCTATGTCAGTCCATGTGTAATTTTTCCATAATTCTTTGTTTTTTGCAGCATTTTTGTTAGTGTAACTGCAGATTGTGCTGACAGTGTCTATGGCACAAAAAAAAAAAAAAATTAAAATGCCTCAACATGAACCCCTGGTGGTCTCTGAGGGTGAAACCTGCTAACTGCTGCAGCTCTGTCAGCTTCAGTCTCCCATGCAGAGCTCTGAGCGCATGTGTGGCTCTGCACCCTTAGCAGCGTTGCTAACTCCTCAGTAAGGAAAGCCTGCTTCATGTCAGAGTCTCTAAACTCCAGAAGAAGTCGATAAAAGTCCCTTTCTTTCTAAAAAAAAGTCGTTAGGGGGGTCTGAAAAGTCATTGAATCTAACAACAAAGTCGCTAGGTTTGCAACTACGTGTCCCAGACTGCATCCCTGCTGAAGGTCCCTCCCTCCCTTCTCATGTTGCAGGAAGAACGTAAGCGCCCGCCCCTTGTCAATCAGTCACCATATAATTTTGGATTGGTTGTTGTGGTGAAGTTTTCCACCAATAGGAGAGATGTTGTGGTGTGTTTTTTTTTTCTTTTGGCAAGCCTTTTCCGCCTGCAAGACCTGTCGCTAATGTCTGCATGCTATGTTTTCCTGTCTCATACAGCGCGATCGAGCGCCGAACGTGATCAAAATAAGCAGAAAAAAAGTATCGCGGACATAATTTATCATAACTCTGGTTTTATTTGGCCTATCAACACAATTTAAAAACTGGTATATAGGTTGAGGTCCTCACTTTTGAGATAAGTTGAAACGGAGAGTCAACGAGGCTCCGTCTTGCAGCTACATCCGATTAAATATGTCATGTGACTTGAACGCACACACAGACACACACACACGCACACACACACACACACACACATACACACTCAGAGTCTGTTTTTCAGCACCTGCAAAAACATGCTATTTACATATTTGACAACAATGCAGAGACTTCCTTTTGCCCCTGAAAAAAATCAAATTTCAAACACAACTTGACTGCTCATTTCTCCAAAAGACAACCATGAAGCTCCATCCAAACCTGAAGCAGGCAGTTGGTGCATGTGTACAGTAACCTGAGTGGAGTGAGGTGACTGCTTCTGAGGAGAACATGAGCAGTCAAGATTCACCTTGGAGCTAGAACAGGGACGTGCACATGATTATACAGGGGCAGGGGCTCAAGTTTTTTCCAGTCGTTTAGACAATATGGAAATTAATGTGAAATTAAAAAACAAAGTATTAATAGAAAGGTAATGACTGTCCTGTGTAGGTGACAGTGAGATCCAATAGGCTAGGCACTCACGAGGCTGGCTGTGGCAAGTGCAAGTGAAAGCCACACGCACTGGCAGGAAGAACAGCAAACGCCGATGAAGGAAAAGGGTCTTTGCAGTGATGGGCGTTACCAGAGAGGACGATGGCCAGAGGACGTGAATGGGACGGGAAGGCAGCGCGTTGGGGGGGGGGGGCGCGCGACACAGCTCGGGCCCGCCAGTGCCCCAACGGGGCCCTAGTGTTATTAGGGCCCGAGCCAGCTGCAGAGCAGCCGGGCGTAGGCCCTATTATTCCCCAAGCGGTTTTTCTTTGTTTCTTTCTTTCTTTCTTTCTTTAGGGCCCGAGCGTAGCTGCTAAGCAGCTGCGAGAGCCCTATTATTCCCCAAGGGGTTTTTCTTTGTTTCTTTTTTCTTTTTCCTCCCCTTTGAACTGGAAAATGGCCCACTTCCCACTGGCGAAAACTCATGAAATTTGGCAGGATGACCGGGCCTGGTGAAAAATTTGATATTCCGAAGTCGCCCAAACAAGAAAATGCAAAATGGCTCCATAGCGCCCCCTAAGGTGAAAATTCACACTATTGACTGTCACGCCTGTACGCTTTGTCAAAATGACACAAAATTTGACACACACATGTATCTCAATAAGATCTACAAAAAAGTCAGTGCGGGCGTATCTGTCAAATGTACGGTTAAAGGGTTATTTCGCATTTTTTGCCGATCCGCACACATTGGAATTTCGCTAACTCCTCCGAAGGCTTTCGTTCCACCGGCACCACATTTGCTCAGGCCAATCTACACCCCATGGCCATTAAAAGTTATTCAAATCATGACGCTGCACCCCACGGTTTAGGTTCTAGGGGGCGCCAAAGATAACCCTAAAATCCACATATTTAAAAGTCTTATAACTTTTTATTTTTGCCCTCACTGGCCTCCAAGTTTTCTAGGATGATGCAATGTCCAGCCATCAACACATTTGTGAAGGAATTTTTACTCCCCAAAAGAGCGCCCCCCCATGGCAGGAGAAAAAAGTCCATTTTTTCTTGTCCCCTAAGGTGAAAATACACATTGTTGAGTGTCACGCCTGTACGCTTTGTCAAAATGACACAAAAATTGACACACACATGTATCTCAATAAGATCTACAAAAAAGTCTATGCGCGCGTATCTGTCAAATGTACGGTTAAAGGGTTATTCCGCATTTTTTGCCGATTCGCACACATTGGAATTTCGCTAACTCCTCCGAAGGCTTTCGTTCCACCGGCACCACATTTGCTCAGGCCAATCTACACTCCATGGCCATTAAAAGTTATTCAAATCATGACGCTGCACCCCACGGTTTACGTTCTAGGGGGCGCCAAAGATAACCCAAAAATCCACATTTTTAAAAGTCTTTTAACTTTTTATTTTTGTCCTCACTGGCCTCCAAGTTTTCTAGGATGATGCAATGTCCAGCCATCAACACATTTGTGAAGGAATTTTTACTCCCTAAAAGAGCGCCCCCCCATGGCAGGAGAAAAAAGTCCATGTTTTCTTGTCCCCTAAGGTGAAAATACACATTGTTGACTGTCACGCATGTACGCTTTGGCAAAATGACACAAAAATTGACAATCATGTGTATCTCAATTAGATCTACGAAAAAGTCAAAGAGCGCGTATCTGTATAATGTACGGTAAAAGGGCTTTTTTGCATTTTTTGCCGATTCGCACACATTGGAATTTCGCTAACTCCTCCTAAGGCTTTCGTCCCACTGACACCAAATTTGCTCAGGCCAATCTACACTCCATGGCCATTCAAAGTTGTAAAAATCATGACGCTGCACCCCACGGTTTACGTTTTAGGGGGCGCCAAAGATGACCCAAATATACATTACAGTAGACAAAGTAGTTTTGCCCACTGAGTGGCGCCAAAGGGACTTGTCTGTGGAGTCTGTGAGTCACTATTGGCCGTTTTTGACTACTTTAGATTTTACCTTTATATTTCCTCTTACAAAATTTTTACCTTGCCTTGCCTGGTATCATTTTTTTCAGCACAACCTCACCTGTGTCAATTTACAGTTATTTTATCATTTTGACATACTATATTTACACATTGGACCCAAATTCACACACAAAACATAAAATCCGAGTGGAAAAAAGTAACGTTTTTACTGTGAAAACCACAAATATGTGTGATGAACTGTTTTTAAAACTTAAACTTCAAATAAAAATTGTAAACTTCAAAACATATGCAAATTTTTAACAAAGAACATAGTGATTTACCTCTATTTACATCAAAATGCAGGCAATGGCCCAGGTGTTCTTTGTAAAATTATTTACAAAACACTGTATAGTCTCACAAATGTCACTTTTTATTTATGCCACTACAAAAAAACATGATGTAAATGATGCATGATGTAAAACATGATGTAAAAAACTTGTGTATATCCTCCTCTATGTTAGTCCATGTGTAATTTTTCCATAATTCTTTGTTTTTTGCAGCATTTTTGTTAGTGTAACTGCAGATTGTGCTGACAGTGTCTATGGCAAAAAAAAAAAAAAAAAACTGAAAATGCCTCAACATGAACCCCTGGTGGTCTCTGAGGGTGAAACCTGCTAACTGCTGCAGCTCTGTCAGCTTCAGTCTCCCATGCAGAGCTCGGAGCGCATGTGTGGCTCTGCACCCTTAGCAGCGTTGCTAACTCCTCAGTAAGGAAAGCCTGCTTCATGTCAGAGTCTCTAAACTCCAGAAGAAGTCGATAAAAGTCACTTTCTTTCTAAAAAAAAAGTCGTTAGGGGGTCTGAAAAGTCATTGAATCTAACAACAAAGTCGCTAGGTTTGCAACTACGTGTCCCAGACTGCATCCCTGCTGAGAGTCCCTCCCTCCCTTCTCATATTGCAGGAAGAACGTAAGCGCCCGCCCTTTGTCAATCAGTCACCATATAATTTTGGATTGGTTGTTGTGGTGAAGTTTTCCACCAATAGGAGAGATGTTGTGGTGTGTTTTTTTTTTCCTTTGGCAAGCCTTTTCCGCCTGTAAGAGCTGTCGCTAATGTCTGCATGCTATGTTTTCCTGTCTCATACAGCGCGATCGAGCGCCGAACGTGATCAAAATAAGCAGAAAACAAGTATCGCGGACATAATTTATCATAACTCTGGTTTTATTTGGCCTATCAACACAATTTAAAAACTGGTATATAGGTTGAGGTCCTCACTTTTGAGATAAGTTGAAACGGAGTCAACGAGGCTCCGTCTTGCAGCTACATCTGGTTAAATATGTCATGTGACTTGAACGCACACACACACACACACACACACACACAGACACACACACACACGCACACACACACACTCAGAGTCTGGTTTTTAGCACCTGCAAAAACATGCTATTTACATATTTGACAAGAATGCAGAGGCTCCTTTTGCCCCTGAAAAAAATCAAATTTCAAACACAACTTGACTGGTCATTTCTCCAAAAGACAACCATGAAGCTCCATCCAAACCTGAAGCAGGCAGTTGGTGCATGTGTACAGTAACCTGAGGGGAGTGAGGTGACTGCTTCTGAGGAGAACATGAGCAGTGAAGATTCACCTTAGAGCTAGAACAGAGACGTGCACATGATTATACAGGGGCAGGGGCTCAAGTTTTTTCCAGTTGTTTATACAATATGGAAATTAATGTGAAATTAAAAAACAAAGTATTAATAGAAAGGTAATGACTGTCCTGAGTAGGTGACAGTGATATCCAATAGGCTAGGCACTCAAGAGGCTGGCTGTGGCAAGTGTAAGTGAAAGCAACACGCACTGGCAGGAAGAACAGCAAACGCCGATGAAGGAAAAGGGTCTTTGCAGTGATGGGCGTTACCAGAGAGGGCGATGGCCAGAGGACACAAATGGGACGGGGAGGCAGCGCGTTGGGGGGGGGACGCGACACAGCTCGGGCCCGCCAGTGCCCCAACGGGGTCCTAGTTCTTTCTTTCTTCTTTTTCCTCCCCTTTGAACTGGAAAATGGCCCACTTCCCTCTGGCGAAAACTCATGAAATTTGGCAGGACGACCGGGCCTGGTGAAAAATTCGATATTCTGAAGTCGCCCAAACAATAAAATGCAAAATGGCTCCATAGCGCCCCCTAAGGTGGAAATTCACACTATTGACTGTCACGCCTGTACGCTTTGTCATATTGACACAAAAATTGACACACATATGTATCTCAATAAGATCTACAAAAAAGTCAGTGCGGCCGTATCTGTCAAAATTACGGTTAAAGGGTTATTTCGCATTTTTTGCCGATCCGCACACATTGGAATTTCGCTAACTCCTCCGAAGGCTTTCGTTCCACCGGCACCACATTTGCTCAGGCCAATCTACACCCCGTGGCCATTAAAAGTTATCAAAATCATGACGCTGCACCCCAAGGTTTAGGTTCTAGGGGGCGCCAAAGATAACACTAAAATCCACATATTTTAAAGTCTTATAACTTTTTATTTTTGTCCTCACTGGCCTCCAAGTTTTCTAGGATGATGCAATGTCCAGCCATCAACACATTTGTGAAGGAATTTTTACTCCCCAAAAGAGCGCCCCCCCATGGCAGGAGAAAAAAGTCCATTTTTTCTTGTCGCCTAAGGTGAAAATACACATTGTTGAGTGTCACGCCTATACGCTTTGTCAAAATGACACAAAAATTGACACACACATGTAACTCAATAAGATCTACAAAAAAGTCCATGCGCGCGTATCTGTCAAATGTACAGTTAAAGGGTTATTCCGCATTTTTTGCCGATACGCACGCATTGGAATTACGCTAACTCCTCCGAAGGCTTTCGTTCCACCGGCACCATATTTGCTCAGGCCAATCTACACCCCATGGCCATTGAAAGTTATTCAAATCATGATGCTGCACCCCATGGTTTAGGTTCTAGGGGGCGCCAAAAATAACCCAAAAATCCACATTCTTAAATGTTTTATAACTTTTTATTTTTGTCCTCACTGGCCTCCAAGTTTTCTAGGATGATGCAATGTCCAGCCATCAACACATTTGTGAAGGAATTTTTACTCCCCAAAAGAGCGCCCCCCCATGGTAGGAGAAAAAAGTCAATTTTTTCTTGTCCCCTTACATAAAAATACACATTGTTGAGTGTCACGCCTCAACGCTTTGTCATATTGACACAAAAATTGACAATCATGTGTATCTCAATTAGATCTACGAAAAAGTCAAAGAGCGCGTATCTGTATAATGTACGGTTAAAGGGCTATTTTGCATTTTTTGCCGATTCGCACACATTGGAATGTGGCTATCTCCTCCTAAGGCTTTCGTCCCACCAATACCAAATTTGCTCAGGCCAATCTACACCCCATGGCCATTCAAAGTTGTAAAAATCATGACGCTGCACCCCACGGTTTACGTTCTAGGGGGCGCCAAAGATGACCCAAAAATCCACATTCTTAAAAGTCATTTTGGCCACTGCAGGAGTACAGAGTACTGCAGTTCTAGGGGGCGCCAAAGATGACCCAAAAATCCACATTCTTAAAAGTCTTTTTGGCCACTGCAGGAGTACAGAGTACTGCAGGATACACACACATATACACACACGCCAACATACACACACACACACACACACACACACACACACACACACAGACACACACACACACTCAGAGTCTGTTTTTTAGCACCTGCAAAAACATGCTGTTTACATATTTGACAAGAATGCAGAGGCTTCCTTTTGCCCCTGAAAAAAATCAAATTTCAAACACAACTTGACTGTTCATTTCTCCAAAAGACAACCATGAAGCTCCATTTCAAACCTGAAGCAGATAGTTGGTGCATGTGTACAGTAACCTGAGGGGAGTGAGGTGACTATTTCTGAGGAGAACATGAGCAGTGAAGATTCACCTTGGAGCTAGAACAGGGACGTGCACATGATTATACAGGGGCAGGGGCTCAAGTTTTTTCCAGTCATTTATACAATATGGAAATTAATGTGAAATTAAACCACAAATATGTGTGATGAACTGTTTTTAAAACTTAAACTTCAAATAAAAATTGTAAACTTCAAAACATATGCAAATTTTTAACAAAGAACATAGTAATTTACCTCTATTTACATCAAAATGCAGGCAATGGCCCAGGCGTTCTTTGTAAAATTATTTACAAAACACTGTATAGTCTCACAAATGTCACTTTTTATTTATGCCACTACAAAAAAACATGATGTAAATGATGCATGATGTAAAACATGATGTAAAAAACTTGTGTAGATCCTCCTCTATGTCAGTCCATGTGTAATTTTTCCATAATTCTTTGTTTTTTGCAGCATTTTTGTTAGTGTAACTGCAGATTGTGCTGACAGTGTCTATGGCACAAAAAAAAAAAAAAAATTAAAATGCCTCAACATGAACCCCTGGTGGTCTCTGAGGGTGAAACCTGCTAACTGCTGCAGCTCTGTCAGCTTCAGTCTCCCATGCAGAGCTCTGAGCGCATGTGTGGCTCTGCACCCTTAGCAGCGTTGCTAACTCCTCAGTAAGGAAAGCCTGCTTCATGTCAGAGTCTCTAAACTCCAGAAGAAGTTGATAAAAGTCCCTTTCTTTCTAAAAAAAAGTCGTTAGGGGGTCTGAAAAGTCATTGAATCTAACAACAAAGTCGCTAGGTTTGCAACTACGTGTCCCAGACTGCATCCCTGCTGAGAGTCCCTCCCTCCCTTCTCATGTTGCAGGAAGAACGTAAGCGCCCGCCCCTTGTCAATCAGTCACCATATAATTTTGGATTGGTTGTTGTGGTGAAGTTTTCCACCAATAGGAGAGATGTTGTGGTGTGTTTTTTTTTTCTTTTGGCAAGCCTTTTCCGCCTGTAAGACCTGTCGCTAATGTCTGCATGCTATGTTTTCCTGTCTCATACAGCGCGATCGAGCGCCGAACGTGATCAAAATAAGCAGAAAACAAGTATCGCGGACATAATTTATCATAACTCTGGTTTTATTTGGCCTATCAACACAATTTAAAAACTGGTATATAGGTTGAGGTCCTCACTTTTGAGATAAGTTGAAACGGAGAGTCAACGAGGCTCCGTCTTGCAGCTACATCCGGTTAAATATGTCATGTGACTTGAACGCACACATAGACGCACACACACACACACACACACACACACACACACACACACACACACACTCAGAGTCTGGGTTTTAGCACTTGCAAAAACATGCTATTTACATATTTGACAAGAATGCAGAGGCTCCTTTTGCCCCTGAAAAAAATCAAATTTCAAACACAACCTGACTGGTCATTTCTCCAAAAGACAACCATGAAGCTCCATCCAAACCTGAAGCAGGCAGTTGGTGCATGTGTACAGTAACCTGAGGGGAGTGAGGTGAGTGCTTCTGAGGAGAACATGAGCAGTGAAGATTCACCTTGGAGCTAGAACAGAGACATGCACATGATTATACAGGGGCAGGGGCTCAAGTTTTTTCCAGTCGTTTATACAATATGGAAATTAATGTGAAATTAAAACACAAAGTATTAATAGAAAGGTAATGACTGTCCTGTGTAGGTGACAGTGTTATCAAATAGGCTAGGCACTCACGAGGCTGGCTGTGGCAAGTGTAAGTGAAAGCAACACGCACTGGCAGGAAGAACAGCAAACGCCGATGAAGGAAAAGGGTCTTTGCAGTGATGGGCGTTACCAGAGAGGGCGATGGCCAGAGGACACAAATGGGACGGGGAGGCAGCACGTTGGGGGGGGGGGGGGGGGGACGCAACACGGCTCGGGCCCGCCAGTGCCCCAACGGGGTCCTAGTTAGGGCCCGAGCGTAGCTGCTAAGCAGCTACGAGAGCCCTCTTGTTCCTGTAGTTTCCTTCTTTAGGGCCCGAGCGTAGCTGCTAAGCAGCTGCGAGAGCCCTATTATTCCCCAAGGGGTTTTTCTTTGTTTCTTTCTTTCTTTCTTTCTTCTTTTTCCTCCCCTTTGAACTGGAAAATGGCCCACTTCCCACTGGCGAAAACTCAGGAAATTTGGCAGGACGACCGGGCCTGGTGAAAAATTCGATATTCTGAAGTCGCCCAAACAATAAAATGCAAAATGGCTCCATAGCGCCCCCTAAGGTGGAAATTCACACTATTGACTGTCACGCCTGTACGCTTTGTCATATTGACACAAAAATTGACACACATATGTATCTCAATAAGATCTACAAAAAAGTCAGTGCGGGCGTATCTGTCAAATGTACGGTTTATGGGTTATTTTGCATTTTTTGCAGATCTGCACACATTGGAATTTCGCTAACTCCTCCGAAGGCTTTCGTTCCACCGGCACCACATTTGCTCAGGCCAATCTACACCCCGTGGCCATTAAAAGTTATTCAAATCATGACGCTGCAACCCACGGTTTAGGTTCTAGGGGGCGCCAAAGATAACACTAAAATCCACATATTTAAAAGTCTTATAACTTTTTATTTTTGTCCTCACTGGCCTCCAAGTTTTCTAGGATGATGCAATGTCCAGCCATCAACACATTTGTGAAGGAATTTTTACTCCCCAAAAGAGCGCCCCCCCATGGCAGGAGAAAAAACTCCATTTTTTCTTGTCCCCTAAGGTGAAAATACACATTGTTGACTGTCACGCCTTTACGCTTTGTCAAAATGACACAAAAATTGACACACACATGTAACTCAATAAGATCTACGAAAAAGTCAATGCGCGCGTATCTGTCAAATGTACGGTTAAAGGGTTATTCCGCATTTTTTGCCGATCCGCACACATTGGAATTTCGCTAACTCCTCCGAAGGCTTTCTGTCCACCGGCACCACATTTGCTTAGGCCAATCTACACCCCATGGCCATTAAAAGTTATTCAAATCATGATGCTGCACCCCACGGTTTAGGTTCTAGGGGGCGCCAAAGACAACCCTAAAATCCACATTCTTAAATGTTTTATAACTTTTTATTTTTGTCCTCACTGGCCTCCAAGTTTTCTAGGATGATGCAATGTCCAGCCATCAACACATTTGTGAAGGAATTTTTACTCCCCAAAAGAGCGCCCCCCATGGTAGGAGAAAAAAGTCAATTTTTTCTTGTCCCCTTACATAAAAATACACATTGTTGAGTGTCACGCCTGTACGCTTTGTCATATTGACACAAAAATTGACAATCACGTGTATCTCAATAAGATCTACGAAAAAGTCAAAGAGCGCGTATCTGTATAATGTACGGTAAAAGGGCTATTTTGCATTTTTTGCCGATCCGCACACATTGGAATGTGGCTATCTCCTCCTAAGGCTTTCGTCCCACCGATACCAAATTTGCTCAGGGCAATCTACACCCCATGCCCATTCAAAGTTGTAAAAATCATGACGCTGCACCCCACGGTTTACGTTCTAGGGGGCGCCAAAGATGACCCAAAAATCCACATTCTTAAAAGTCATTTTGGCCACTGCAGGAGTACAGAGTACTGCAGTTCTAGGGGGCGCCAAAGATGACCCAAAAATCCACATTCTTAAAAGTCTTTTTGGCCACTGCAGGAGTACAGAGTACTGCAGGATACACACACATATACACACACGCCAACATACACACACACACACACACACACACACACACACACACACACACACACACACACACACACACACACACACACTCAGAGTCTGTTTTTTAGCACCTGCAAAAACATGCTGTTTACATATTTGACAAGAATGCAGAGGCTTCCTTTTGCCCCTGAAAAAAATCAAATTTCAAACACAACTTGACTGTTCATTTCTCCAAAAGACAACCATGAAGCTCCATTTCAAACCTGAAGCAGATAGTTGGTGCATGTGTACAGTAACCTGAGGGGAGTGAGGTGACTATTTCTGAGGAGAACATGAGCAGTGAAGATTCACCTTGGAGCTAGAACAGGGACGTGCACATGATTATACAGGGGCAGGGGCTCAAGTTTTTTCCAGTCATTTATACAATATGGAAATTAATGTGAAATTAAACCACAAATATGTGTGATGAACTGTTTTTAAAACTTAAACTTCAAATAAAAATTGTAAACTTCAAAACATATGCAAATTTTTAACAAAGAACATAGTAATTTACCTCTATTTACATCAAAATGCAGGCAATGGCCCAGGCGTTCTTTGTAAAATTATTTACAAAACACTGTATAGTCTCACAAATGTCACTTTTTATTTATGCCACTACAAAAAAACATGATGTAAATGATGCATGATGTAAAACATGATGTAAAAAACTTGTGTAGATCCTCCTCTATGTCAGTCCATGTGTAATTTTTCCATAATTCTTTGTTTTTTGCAGCATTTTTGTTAGTGTAACTGCAGATTGTGCTGACAGTGTCTATGGCACAAAAAAAAAAAAAATTAAAATGCCTCAACATGAACCCCTGGTGGTCTCTGAGGGTGAAACCTGCTAACTGCTGCAGCTCTGTCAGCTTCAGTCTCCCATGCAGAGCTCTGAGTGCATGTGTGGCTCTGCACCCTTAGCAGCGTTGCTAACTCCTCAGTAAGGAAAGCCTGCTTCATGTCAGAGTCTCTAAACTCCAGAAGAAGTCGATAAAAGTCCCTTTCTTTCTAAAAAAAAGTCGTTAGGGGGTCTGAAAAGTCATTGAATCTAACAACAAAGTCGCTAGGTTTGCAACTACGTGTCCCAGACTGCATCCCTGCTGAGAGTCCCTCCCTCCCTTCTCATGTTGCAGGAAGAACGTAAGCGCCCTCCCCTTGTCAATCAGTCACCATATAATTTTGGATTGGTTGTTGTGGTGAAGTTTTCCACCAATAGGAGGGATGTTGTGGTGTGTTTTTTTTTTTTTTTTTTGGCAAGCCTTTTACGCCTGTAAGAACAGTCGCTAATGTCTGCATGCTATGTTTTCCTGTCTCATACAGCGCGATCGAGCGCTGAACGTGATCAAAATAAGCAGAAAAAAAGTATCGCGGACATAATTTATCATAACTCTGGTTTTATTTGGCCTATCAACACAATTTAAAAACTGGTATATAGGTTGAGGTCCTCACTTTTGAGATAAGTTGAAACGGAGAGTCAATGAGGCTCCGTCTTGCAGCTACATCCGGTTAAATATGTCATGTGACTTGAACGCACACACAGACACACACACACGCACACACACACAGACACACACACACGCACACACACACACACACACACACACACACACACACTCAGAGTCTGGTTTTTAGCACCTGCAAAAACATGCTATTTACATATTTGACAAGAATGCAGAGGCTCCTTTTGCCCCTGAAAAAAAAATCAAATTTCAAACACAACTTGACTGGTCATTTCTCCAAAAGACAACCATGAAGCTCCATCCAAACCTGAAGCAGGCAGTTGGTGCATGTGTACAGTAACCTGAGGGGAGTGAGGTGAGTGCTTCTGAGGAGAACATGAGCAGTGAAGATTCACCTTGGAGCTAGAACAGAGACATGCACATGATTATACAGGGGCAGGGGCTCAAGTTTTTTTCCAGTTGTTTATACAATATGGAAATTAATGTGAAATTAAAACACAAAGTATTAATAGAAAGGTAATGACTGTCCTGTGTAGGTGACAGTGATATCGAATAGGCTAGGCACTCACGAGGCTGGCTGTGGCAAGTGTAAGTGAAAGCAACACGCACTGGCAGGAAGAACAGCAAACGCCGATGAAGGAAAAGGGTCTTTGCAGTGATGGGCGTTACCAGAGAGGGCGATGGCCAGAGGACACAAATGGGACGGGGAGGCAGCGCGTTGGGGGGGGGACGCGACACAGCTCGGGCCCGCCAGTGCCCCAACGGGGTCCTAGTTATTAGGGCCCGAGCGTAGCTGCTAAGCAGCTGCGAGAGCCCTCTTGTTCCTGTAGTTTCCTTCTTTTGTTATTAGGGCCCGAGCGTAGCTGCTAAGCAGCTGCGAGAGCCCTCTTGTTCCTGTAGTTTCCTTCTTTTGTTATTATTATTATTATTATTATTTTTCCTCCCCTTTGAACTGGAAAATGGCCCACTTCCCACTGGCGAAAACTCATGAAATTTGGCAGGACGACCGGGCCTGGTGAAAAATTTGATATTCCGAAGTCGCCCAAACCAGAAAATTCAAAATGGCTCCATAGCGCCCCCTAAGGTGAAAATTCACACTATTCACTGTCACGCCTGTACGCTTTGTCAAAATGACACAAAAATTGACACACACATGTATCTCAATAAGATCTACAAAAAAGTCAGTGCGGGCGTATCTGTCAAATGTACGGTTAAAGGGTTATTTCGCATTTTTTGCCGATCCGCACACATTGGAATTTCGCTAACTCCTCCGAAGGCTTTCGTTCCACCGGCACCACATTTGCTCAGGCCAATCTACACCCCATGGCCATTAAAAGTTATTCAAATCATGACGCTGCACCCCACGGTTTAGGTTCTAGGGGGCGCCAAAGATAACCCTAAGATCCACATATTTAAAAGTCTTATAACTTTTTATTTTTGCCCTCACTGGCCTCCAAGTTTTCTAGGATGATGCAATGTCCAGCCATCAACACATTTGTGAAGGAATTTTTACTCCCCAAAAGAGCGCCCCCCCATGGCAGGAGAAAAAAGTCCATTTTTTCTTGTCCCCTAAGGTGAAAATACACATTGTTGAGTGTAACACCTGTACGCTTTGGCAAAATGACACAAAAATTGACACACACATGTATCTCAATAAGATCTACGAAAAAGTCAATGCGCGCGTATCTGTCAAATGTACGGTTAAAGGGTTATTCCGCATTTTTTGCCGATCCGCACACATTGGAATTTCGCTAACTCCTCCGAAGGCTTTCGTTCCACCGGCACCACATTTGCTCAGGCCAATCTACACCCCATGGCCATTAAAAGTTATTCAAATCATGACGCTGCACCCCACGGTTTAGGTTCTAGGGGGAGCCAAAGATAACCGTAAAATCCACATATTTAAAAGTCTTATAACTTTTTATTTTTGTCCCCACTGGCCTCCAAGTTTTCTAGGATGATGCAATGTCCAGCCATCAACACATTTGTGAAGGAATTTTTACTCGGCAAAAGAGCGCCCCCCCATGGCAGGAGAAAAAAGTCAATTTTTTCTTGTCCACTAAGGTGAAAATACACATTGTTGAGTGCTACGCCTGTATGTTTTGTCGTATTGACACAAAATTTTACATACACGTGTATTTCAATAAGATCTTCGAAAAAGTCAATGGCCACGTATCTGTAAAATGTACGGTTAAAGGGTTATTTCGCATTTTTTGCCGATCCGCACACATTGGAATTTCGCTAACTCCTCCGAAGGCTTTCGTTCCACCGGCACCACATTTGCTCAGGCCAATCTACACCCCATGGCCATTAAAAGTTATTCAAATCATGACGCTGCACCCCACGGTTTAGGTTCTAGGGGGCGCCAAAGATAACCCTAAAATCCACATATTTAAAAGTCTTATAACTTTTTATTTTTGTCCTCACTGGCCTCCATGTTTTCTAGGATGATGCAATGTCCAGCCATCAACACATTTGTGAAGGAGTTTTTTCTCTTTAAAAGAGCGCCCCCCCATGGCAGGAGAATAAAGTCAAGTTTTTCCTGTTCATCATTCAATGGCTCAAACGCACTGCTCTCTCGGCAAAAGCGAAAGGAGGAGCAACTTGCCATTTGGATATATCTTAGCTGTGTTTGTGCCCTCACTCATGGTCCAGACTTTTTTCAAATAGGACATGGAGTTTTTCTGCAGCGAGCGTTTTGGTAGAAACTGCGCCTCCCGTTCATTATAATGGTAAATGACCACAAACAAGTGCGCACACCATCTTTGGACCTTGAGTGTGACGCGATCGGGTGGGGGAGGCGGTCGCGCTGGGGGCGGCGTGACACGGCTCGGGCCCGCCAGTGCCCCAACGGGGCCCTAGTTATTATTATTTTTCCTCCCCTTTGAACTGGAAAATGGCCCACTTCCCACTGGCGAAAACTCATGAAATTTGGCAGGACGACCGGGCCTGGTGAAAAATTTGATATTCCGAAGTCGCCCAAACAAGAAAATGCAAAATGGCTCCATAGCGCCCCCTAAGGTGAAAATTCACACTATTCACTGTCACGCCTGTACGCTTTGTCAAAATGACACAATAATTGACACACACATGTATCTCAATAAGATCTACAAAAAAGTCAGTGCGGGCGTATCTGTCAAATGTACGGTTAAAGGGTTATTTCGCATTTTTTGCCGATCCGCACACATTGGAATTTCGCTAACTCCTCCGAAGACTTTCGTTCCACCGGCACCACATTTGCTCAGGCCAATCTACACCCCATGGCCATTAAAAGTTATTCAAATCATGACGCTGCACCCCACGGTTTAGGTTCTAGGGGGCGCCAAAGATAACCCTAAAATCCACATATTTAAAAGTCTTATAACTTTTTATTTTTGCCCTCACTGTCCTCCAAGTTTTCTAGGATGATGCAATGTCCAGCCATCAACACATTTGTGAAGGAATTTTTACTCCCCAAAAGAGCGCCCCCCCATGGCAGGAGAAAAAAGTCCATTTTTTCTTGTCCCCTAAGGTGAAAATACACATTGTAGAGTGTCACACCTGTACGCTGTGTCAAAATGACACAAAATTTGACATACTCGTGTATTTCAATAAGATCTTCGAAAAAGTCAATGGCCACGTATCTGTAAAATGTACGGTTAAAGGGTTATTTCGCATTTTTTGCCGATCCGCACACATTGGAATTTCGCTAACTCCTCCGAAGGCTTTCGTTCCACCGGCACCACATTTGCTCAGGCCAATCTACACCCCATGGCCATTAAAAGTTATTCAAATCATGACGCTGCACCCCACGGTTTACGTTCTAGGGGGCGCCAAAAATAACCCAAAAATCCACATTTTTAAAAGTCTTATAACTTTTCATTTTTGTCCTCACTAGCCTCCAAGTTTTCTAGGATGATGCAATGTCCAGCCATCAACACATTTGTGAAGGAATTTTTACTCCCCAAAAGAGCGCCCCCCATGGCAGGAGAAAAAAGTCCATTTTTTCTTGTCCCCTAAGGTGAAAATACACATTGTTGAGTGTCACGCCTGTACGCTTTGGCAAAATGACACAAAAATTGACACACACATGTATCTCAATAAGATCTACAAAAAAGTCTTACTCGCGTATCTGTCAAATGTACGGTTAAAGGGCTATTTTGCATTTTTTGCCGATACGCACACATTGGAATTTCGCTAACTCCTCCGAAGGCTGGCATTCCACCGGCACCACATTTGCTCAGGCCAATCTACACCCCATGGCCATTAAAAGTTATTCAAATCATGACGCTGCACCCCACGGTTTAGGTTCTAGGGGGCGCCAAAGATAACCCTAAAATCCACATATTTAAAAGTCTTATAACTTTTTATTTTTGTCCTCACTGGCCTCCAAGTTTTCTAGGATGATGCAATGTCCAGCCATCAACACATTTGTGAAGGAATTTTTACTCCCCAAAAGAGCGCCCCCCCATGGCAGGAGAAAAAAGTCCATTTTTTCTTGTCCCATAAGGTGAAAAAACACATTGTTGACTGTCATACCTGTACGCTTTGTCATATTGACACAAAATTTGACAATCACATGTATCTCAATAAGATCTACGAAAAAGTCAATGCGCGCGTATCTGTAAAATGTACGGTTAAAGGGCTATTTTGCATTTTTTACCGATTCGCACACATTGGAATGTGGCTAACTCCTCCTAAGGCTTTCGTCCCACTGACACCAAATTTGCTCATGCCAATCTACACCCCATGGCCATTCAAAGTTGTAAAAATCATGACGCTGCACCCCACGGTTTACGTTCTAGGAGGCGCCAAAGATGACCCAAATATCCACATTCTTAAAAGAATCCACATCCCCCCCCCCATCCCCCATCCCCCATGGCAGGAGAAACAGTCAAGTTTTTCCTGCCCATCACTCAATGGCTCAATCGCATCACTCTCCCGGCAACACCGTAACGAGGAGCAACTTGCCGTTTGGATATATCCTAGCTGTGTTTGTGCCCTCACTCATGGTCCAGCCTTTTTTCAAATAGGACTTGTAGTTTGTCTGCAGCGAGTGTTTTGGTAGAAACTGCGCCTCCCATTCATTATAATGGGAAATGACCACAGACAAGTGCGCACACCATCTTTGGACCTTATGTGTGACGCGATCGGGAGGGGGAGGTGGTCGCGCTGGGGGCGGCGCAACGCGGCTCGGGCCCGACAGTGCCCCACCGGGGTCCTAGTTATTTTTCCTCCCCTTTGAACTGGAAAATGGCCCACTTCCCACTGGCGAAAACTCATGAAATTTGGCAGGACGACCGGGCCTGGTGAAAAATTTGATATTCTGAAGTCGCCCAAACAATACAATGCAAAATGGCTCCATAGCGCCCCCTAAGGTGAAAAATTCACCTGACGCCTGTACGCTTTGTCAAAATGACACAAAAATTGACACACACATGTATCTCAATAAGATCTACAAAAAAGTCAGTGCGGGCGTATCTGTCAAATGTACGGTTAAAGGGTTATTTCGCATTTTTTGCCGATCCGCACACATTGGAATTTCGCTAACTCCTCCGAAGGCTTTCGTTCCACCGGCACCACATTTGCTCAGGCCAATCTACACCCCATGGCCATTAAAAGTTATTCAAATCATGACGCTGCACCCCACGGTTTATGTTCTAGGGGGCGCCAAAGATAACCCTAAAATCCACATATTTCAAAGTCTTATAACTTTTTATTTTTGCCCTCACTGGCCTCCAAGTTTTCTAGGATGATGCAATGTCCAGCCATCAACACATTTGTGAAGGAATTTTTACTCGCCAAAAGAGCGCCCCCCCATGGCAGGAGAAAAAAGTCCATTTTTTCTTGTTCCATAAGGTGAAAATTCACACTATTGACTGTCACGCCTGTACGCTTTGTCAAAATTACACAAAAATTGACACACACATGTATCTCAATAAGATCTACAAAAAAGTCAGTGCGGGCGTATCTGTCAAATGTACGGTTAAAGGGTTATTGCGCATTTTTTGCCGATCCGCACACATTGGAATTTCGCTAACTCCTCCGAAGGCTTTCGTTCCACCGGCACCACATTTGCTCAGGCCAATCTACACCCCATGGCCATTAAAAGTTATTCAAATCATGACGCTGCACCCCACGGTTTAGGTTCTAGGGGGCGCCAAAGATAACCCTAAAATCCACATATTTAAAAGTCTTATAACTTTTTATTTTTGTCCTCTCTGGCCTCCAAGTTTTCTAGGATGATGCAATGTCCAGCCATCAACACATTTGTGAAGGAATTTTTACTCCCTAAAAGAGCGCCCCCCCATGGCAGGAGAAAAAAGTCCATTTTTTCTTGTCCC